GAACTCGAGGATACGGAGCTTGGCCAGTTGGTAGACGGCAATCCCAACCTGGAAGGGGCGGGATATCACTATCCGGGGCTTGCGACTCTCTATCTCGTAGGCCGCCCCGATCTCTGTCAGATCGCTAAACCAGGCTGACCTCAGCGCGCGATCGACAGTCTTTTCGTCTTTGGTATAGGAGACATTTTTGTGTCGCTCCAGAGCTTCGATCAGCTTACCGTAGGCCGCGTTTCCCAGAAGCTTCATCGCCTCGGCTAGGATGGCCTTCTCCTTGGAAACATCCCCCATGCGCCGGGCCTCGGTCACCTGCTCGACGAACCATGTGAATATCTTTTCCGGGGTGTATCGGATTATCGCATACACAGCGTCTACCACTAGCCCGTGTTGGAGGTACCATTTTAGTAGCGGGGTGTACAGCAATATACCGTCTGCCTCTAGGACTCCCAGCAGCTTGCGAGTGGCGGTCCGTTTGCGTCTAGTTTTGTTTAGATAGTCCATCATCTCCGGTGGGACGGCTGCGTCTGGCACCTCTCGGTTCATGAAGATTGGGGCCATCTCTTCGAACTTAGGCCACAGGTGTTTTGGCACAGAAATCTTGCATTTTACGAAGCCAAAGAGGTGGTCGTTTAGCACCAGGTGGGGTATTTGCGCGGCCATATAACGCTGATTGCCTGGATATTCGAAGGTTTCTAGCGCCTCCTTGCCGCAAGGCATGTCAGCCGCCATGGCGCTAAGGTAAAGTGCATTTGCGTCGTAACCCTGAAAGCGCCTGAAAGGTTTGGCTGCATCTCCGTGCTGGTGTGAGCGGATCTTCGTAACTCCGGCTTCGTGATAGCGGGTGAAGACTATTGAAGGGCCGCCAACCACGGCTTCCTTGAGGAGATCGTATGCAGGCTTGCCTGGTGCGTACAGCTTCTCCTCTGTACCCCTCAGAAGATACTGTAGGGACACACCTGGAAGACTGACGGCATCCTTAAAGATGTCTACACCTCGTTCACTGTAGAAGGCTTTCATCTTCTCCTGAGCTTCTATAAAGGGGGCCACATCGAGGTTGTTGTAGTATTTCAGCCAGTCGACGAAGGTTGTCATTCCTCGCTCGCGAAAGAGCCGTTTACAGCTCCTCCATTCCTCCAGCGTTAAAGGATACTCTGCTGTCAGTTTAGAGTACCACGCTGGGTAATCCGGGAGCCCTGGGTAGTCCAATTTTTCTGGAGCGTCAAACCACTCATATGGAAACCAAGACTTTGTCTGCTCACACCCGTAAGCTTTGACCCATTTGGCGTAGCTCGTTCCTGGGCCGAGATAGTTTATTACGTCAAGGAACTTTAGCTCTGGCGTAGCGATAAATATGATATGCCTTCCTCGGGCTGCTACGTTCGGTTTTTTACAGGTGTCCGATATTGTCTCCACAAAGTGCGCCTTGATCAGGTTCAGGTCATATTTTCCTGAATTGAACCCGAGTACCGGCACCTGCCCACACCATCTGCGAATGAGCCTTTGTTGGCTTTTGTGTAGTAGGTCGATGTCTTCTGGCATAAAACGCTGCTCCACATCCTGACGCAGTATGGCAGCGCGTCTCTGCACTTCAGCTACGAAAACCTGCACCAATTGTTTAGGGTCCCTTACGCATATGTGCGTTGGCTCACGCTCCATCGTATCACCAACCGATACGGATATCGGGATGTGTGTATTTTCGAAGGAGAGATTCGCCGTTGGCTGGGTTGCTTTTGTTTTATCGAGGTAGGCCTCGAAGTCATACACGATAGCGTGTGGATAGGGTATGAACTGTGGTGGCTGTAGCGTCGTCTTTCTGCCGTCTAGGCTTTTCCAATCACATTGCCACATAACAACAAGCGCGTAACCGGCATCCTGTATTTTCTGTTGTCGTTTTTGGGTCAGCTGATACAGGCTACGGGCGTTGTCCTGCTTACAGTGGGTCGGACATCCGTGCCAGTGACAGCCGTGGTACTGGAAAACCGTTTTAGTCGTCGGTTCGTAGCCGTCTACAGGCGCGCCCGCTATCCAGCGTTCACCGCCGTGCCCGCACTTCGCATGGTGGATATGAAGGCCTCGTTGTTGGGCCTCATGCTCGAGCCATTGTATCGAAGAAGCGCTGGCATTACACTTTGGGTAGAAGGCCTTTTCGTAGGCCGACTGCGGGTGCTCTACCTTTTCCCCAGGGCATTTAATTGTCGTTATTCCTTGGGTACATTTGTCTGCATGGCGTTGTAGATCGCATATTTTGGTAAACTGCTGGTTACAGGCTCCACAAGCGTAAACATGCGCTAGCTTCTTGATGTCTTTAATAAGGAACGCATGATCGTTGAAAACCCCTATCGTCATGGGCTCTGTTCCTACGGCGCCGTAATGGGCGGGTTGTCTTTTGAGATACCACGTACCGTTTTCTTCGGGCTCGTACACACGAATTCCCAATTTGAAATGTTCTTCGACCCGTTTTAGATCTTCTAGGGTTATTTTGGGCGCAAGCCGTGTCAGTTCGTCTCTACTCACACTGTAGAATGCGCATGCGAGCCGGATAGCTTGTTCGGTGCAGCGATCTGACCTAGCCCCTTGATGCACCGCGATACACCGAAATAGGCAAAGGGTGTCCTCATAAGTATCCAAGGCAAACATACCCTTCTTATTACGCAACCAGTCGGGTAGCCTTCCCGCGCCTAGCAGAGGTTGGGTGGTTATGATCGCCTTTACCTCGATCATTATCCAGCGGTTGACAGTCCATTTGGTGTTTGGGCGTTCCAGGCTGTCGGGGTCCAGACGTCTTTCATCTTGCTCCGTTAACCATTCTCTCGCAGCGGCTAGATCACTAATCTGGGGACTGTTGCCAAAGTTTGTGTCCCACCGCATCGTTTCATCCGTCTCTACATCCTTTAGCTGATATGTGAAGCCATACCGGAGATAGAAGGCTGTCTCAAGGCTCTCTACTTTTTGCATAACACGATCCACCTGGCTATTCGCAAGGCCTCTCCCAAAGAATTTCCATATTCGAGTCCGACGCCCCCTTTCTTCACCTTCGGCATCAGCAACAAGCTCTTCTAAAATAGCGGGGCCGCGGTGTCTTATAGCAGCATGAAGAGGTTCTTGGCGATATCCGTGTCGGCGCACACGCTTCTGGTAGCGGTTTAGCGCGTTAACCCTTAATTGGGGGTTCCTTCTTGCTAGAGCCTCGAGCTTGTTTGCCCTCAAGGACAGATCGACCTCCTCATTGAATTGTTTCAGCTCACGGCGATATTGGTACTTCTTGAAAGGGTCATCGCTCTTACCACTAATCAGAGCTGGATATCGTCCAGTCACCCTAGCTCTGGCGAGGCGCTTCCGGCGCTCGGGGTCCACGACCTCGGTGAATTCCCGCACACGTGCCTCGTAGATCTCCCTCGCAAGTGTTGCTTTATTGCGTCGGCTATATGGTAACCCATATTGCCTTGCTTGCTCCTGTAGTTGCTTTAGTGTCGGCATGGTTATCGTATTCCTATAGGAAAACATTTCTCTAATATGAACTTATAATGCTATTGCGGCCAAACGTCTGCACTCTTCCCTGAAAGGGAGTACCTTTTGATAATACCTACACAACCCCTTCAGCCGGTCATATCCACAGTCCAGACATACCTCCAGGTGGTTCATCACACCCTTACCACACCCGCGGCACGGCTTCGTACAAGAGCCTTTTCGTAGCTTGGCGTTATGAGCCCCACAGTACTCTCCTCTACAGCGCCGACCGCAGAGCTGCACTGAATACAATGTAAGCCACTGACACGTGTTTTGCCCTCGCGGCATTGTCAGGTAGGTATATTGGATAGGAATTCGTATCTCTAATAGGGAGCGCCTACTACTATATGGGCGTCAAAATGATACTACCCCAAACCCACGGCCCCGTTTCGTCATCCACGGGCCCCCAGCCCCCTCGTTTGCGATGCGCGAACCTCGTTTTGCGATGTGTGAACCTGCGATGGGCCCCCGGCCCTCCCGCGTCTTCCGTTATACGTGTAACGAGGGCTGACATGATGCAAAGGAGAGGGGGGTGGGGGCCGTGGATGACGAAACGGGGCCGTGGGTTTGGGGTGGTATCATTTTGACGCCCATATAGTAGTTGTAGTCCAAACATCAGCACCTACCTTTCTTACAGTTCAAACATCAGTAACTAACCTTCTTACAGTTCAAACATCAGCACCTACCTTTCTAACAGTTCAAACATCAGCACCTTCCTTTCTAACAGTTCAAACATCAGTAACTACCTTTGTTGTAGTCCAAACATCAGCACCTACCTTTCTAACAGTTCAAACATCAGTAACTACCTTTGTTGTAGTCCAAACATCAGCACCTACCTTTCTTACAGTTCAAACATCAGTAACTAACCTTCTTACAGTTCAAACATCAGCACCTACCTTTCTAACAGTTCAAACATCAGCACCTTCCTTTCTAACAGTTCAAACATCAGTAACTACCTTTGTTGTAGTCCAAACATCAGCACCTACCTTTCTAACAGTTCAAACATCAGTAACTACCTTTGTTGTAGTCCAAACATCAGCACCTACCTTTCTTACAGTTCAAACATCAGTAACTAACCTTCTTACAGTTCAAACATCAGCACCTACCTTTCTAACAGTTCAAACATCAGCACCTTCCTTTCTAACAGTTCAAACATCAGTAACTACCTTTGTTGTAGTCCAAACATCAGCACCTACCTTTCTAACAGTTCAAACATCAGTAACTACCTTTGTTGTAGTCCAAACATCAGCACCTGCCTTTCTTACAGTTCAAACATCAGCACCTTCCTTTCTAACAGTTCAAACATCAGTAACTACCTTTGTTGTAGTCCAAACATCAGCACCTACCTTTCTAACAGTTCAAACATCAGTAACTACCTTTGTTGTAGTCCAAACATCAATACCTACCTTTCTTACATTTCAAACATCAGCACCTACCTCTCTTACAGTTCAAACATCAGTAACTACCTTTGTTGTAGTCCAAACATCAGCACCTACCTTTCTTAAGCTTCCATCTCGATCATGAACTGATGAATGTTCTTTGTCCGGAACACTCTGCAGTAAAGAATTTTTTAGTACCCAGTTTCATTCTCAGTCATATCACAGAAATGAAACAATACTACAAAAAATTTTCAAGAAAACTAATTCATTCAGGGGATTCTATTATATAAGAATCATTCTTCTTCTTCTTCATGTTCACTAGCGGTAAACTACAGCCCAAAACCCAGCTGTTCGTCCACTTTTGGACTTTGGTCTTGTTTCAGAACTTGAGTTATGCATGCACATCTGTTTCACAGATCAGGCTTACATAAAGCAGACTGTTGGTTCTACACCTCTCAGGCAGATGTACTTTGGTCCTCCAAAATGCGGCCAGGAACCCAAGGGGGGAATCCTAACTTTCGTCCTCCGAAATCTGGTCCAGAAACTATGGGGGAGGGGGAAATGGACCTTTTTTCGTCCACCAAAATCCAAAACGGGGCCCAGAACCTATTGGGGGGGGGGGGGGGGGGGAAATAATTGCAGGCATCATGGGGGACAACAAACTGCAATGGCTAAGGCATATAGAGAGAAAGGCAGATAACAGAGAGAGACAAAAAGTGTGCACATAAAACAACTAGTTGAACGAGGGTAGACCATGAGGCAGACCAAGAAGATTGTGGAGAAATAATATGCCTCTCAGGCTCCTGTTTGGGGTTGAGAATCTGGACATAAAGCTAGTGAAAAGAAAGTTCCAGCATTCCCGCTTGCAGCACTAAATACCCAAGGTTGAGAAACACAAAGACTGTAGGCTAAATGAGCATGGACAAAAGGCTCAACTCTATGTGGTCAGCTTGGGATTGAATCATCCGGACGGAAGGTCAAACAATGGATTCGGTCTTCAACAGATAATATTTGGATAATGTCACTTAAGTGACCATCTAGCCAATAGTGTAAGTATTAGATAAAGTTCATTTCCAAATTGTTTCTAGATGCATCTTTAAAAAGGCGCTAGTAAAAAGTTACAGAAGTGTGACATTGCTATCTTGTGAAACTTTGCGAGACAGTTTGTTCTCGCCTGATGGCACCTGCAGTGTTCATACAGTTTCAGCATTTTAACAATGGAAGTATCAAGCAGAACTCACTGAATTAAAATCAAGCCTATAACAACATGTTAGGTAGTAAGCTCAGGGTGCTGGAGGGACAAAGTGAACCTATACAAGTTACAAAAGGTGATCTCTACACACAGATTGCCTTAACCTTAAAAACATGTCTTCTCTCGTTCCCTGACAATAATACCTAAAAACACCCGAAGACACCAAATAAAAAAAGAAAGGCAATCATAGAGATGAACTGAGACAGGTAATATTTGCAGCAATGAATCTTAGGGTTGCAAAATGCTGAATAACAATAATAAGAAGCATAGAAAGAAGACGTTGAAAAATATATATATACATACACACATAAACAATCAATTTACACATTTAAAGCACAAAATGAACTACTCTTTGATGACCAAGTCTAGATAGCAGACAGAACCATAAAACTGCAACATCTCCCTTCCATAAATTCCCCATCTTGGATTGAAAGTCTAGCGTAAACAGTAAAACAACATGCTAGCCTCCCTTTCAGGGTGAATGCGCAGAAGAAGAAGAGAAAGACATCAATGAATCAAGAATTTAAACCAAATAATAGTAGAATCAGCACTGAAATAAAAGAAGAAATGTCAACAGATAGAAAGAAGCAGAACTTTTAAACAATAGTAGTGAAAAGTTACTAAGCAGGCATATAAGTTTAAATAAGTGCCAACAACATTCAACAAAGACATTCACCACTATCTTTTTTTTTTAGTATATGCGAAAAGAGGAGAGTAACGTAGGACCTAAGGTAGACCAGGAACAAGATGGAAAGATACATAGGAGAAACTCTAAAATAGTACAACATAAAGAAAAAGAACACCCTAAAGTAGGTGAACATGAAGTTGCCGTGAATGCAGCTGAACAGAAACTCACCCTTGCTGGTGTGTGAATTGGTGCTAGATTGTCCAGATTCGTCATGGGAAACTCAATACCTTTCTGCTTCAGCTCCAGGTAAACCTTCTCTACTTCTTTAAGTTCAGGGTTCCCTCGAAAAGCATCAGCCCACGTCTGCAACAACAAACTCTTAAAATAAGCATTAATACATTTCATTTATAAATGCTCTATTTGGGTAGGGGGAAACGGTAGCCTCATTTTCCAGCAGAGATTATGGTTCATATCCAAATTATGGTAAGATTTTCTATTTTGCCAACAATTAGGCGCTCTGGGGTTGACCCAGTGATGCATGTAATATGGCCTACAATTTAATGCATCAATGGTAGATCATTCTATGGAATTAACTTTACCTGAAAGTTTGGAGGATAAATTTAACCTGGTTGCCCGAGAAGACTAATCTGGTCACTTTGGGTTGTGACACAGTCCTGTAAATGCCAGTACATCGGCCTGTCTGTAGTGTCTTGTTCCCAAAAAGCGTAGTTTAAATTCCATTGGTTCATGTGCTGCTACACAGTGTTTAAGAAGCCAGGATATGGATACAGTAGCCAAAACTAAAGGTAGCATTTAGACCCCATCTTCTATCCCCCATGACCACAATAGCCTTTTAAAGCCAAGCTGATGTCATATTTTCCTTAAGCTTCAGGACAGAAGACACAAGGTCACCCAATGAATCACCAGAAAGATTTGTCTTAAGTCCCTGGGAATCTATTTAATTTAACGCCTCTGTTCACATTTAATGCTTACCTTTTTGTATATCTTTATATCTTTCAACAACTAACAAATGTAAAAATAAAGATAAAAACAATTTTGAAACATTTACAGTGACTGCTGTAAAACTGTTGTTTTTTAAGGACTTTTCCAAGATTTCCCGCAGGTTCATGACGCATGTTTTTATAATTGGCAAGGCCAAAGAGTTAAAGACACGTTAGTGGCTGATCAGTCAGTCAGGTCAAGCCAGTCACAGTTTATCAAGCTAGACACTTAATTCAATCAACCAGTCATTTAAGTTAGTCAGCAGTTCTGATCTTGGTTCAATCTCAGTTAAGGAAGAACTGTCTCAACTGTACACAGCTCTGGTGTCAGCTTGGTCTTGCAAGTTCTAGGGAAGAAAAAAGTGGTGAGGAATAGAGCTGTTCATCTCTCTTGGGTCATTTGTTTTAGTATATATCAGGTGTCCTATTGCTATACAACTTCAATGTAGTTTCTAAATTGAGATAACATGTTTTATACCAAACAATTATGAGCCTGAATTGTAGAAGTAAAAATGACTCAAATGCTGTTTCCCACAACAAAGACCATCTGCAATAAATATTAAAAACTGTCAATAGATTGCTTCTGTTACACACTCTGGCAATGCCTACTATTGCAGGCAGGCTCAAAGTTCTGCAAGCAAAGTCATATCTTAGAGTAGCTGCAGACAGAAAGCACCTCCTGCCTGAAGCCCCAGGTACAGCTAAGGATCGCAGTCTGAAAAGAGAAAGGTCTTGGATGGTGCAGGCTGAAGATACAATTAGACGTGTGCAAGCTTGATCAATCTGGGCTAGGAGAGGAGTGGGTCAAAGTGTCCGAGCAAGAATAAAACTTTTGGTCATGAGCGCAGGGACTGGCCAGCTGGTGCTGCAGAATCACAAGTTCAACAAACGATTCATTACAGTTCCCAGCCAGGTGATGTGATTTTACAGGTGGCTCTGAAGAGGTAGATGAGGTGCATGCGAGTTCAGAGCGAAAGCGAACTGACGTCACTTAGTGCAACAAAGCCTGGCATATGATATCACAACTTCTAGTTTGAGAATGGAGGTGGAGGCAGTCGCTGCTGCCATTTGCTGGATTCAGAATCAGCTGTACACACAGGTCATAAATGTAAATGACTCACAGATTATGTTGAGAAAGGTGAAAACAGGCATGTTCCATGCAGAGTGGCAAGCACTGCTTCAGAGGAGAAATACAATCCGAAAAGAAAGTATACTATGCTCTTCAACAGTTGCTAAAGTCAGTCTCTATATCGCAAAACCAAGATCAAAACATATAACACGTTGATAAAACCAGTTGTTTTACATAGCTCTAAAACTTGGAGCACAACTAAAAGAGATCAAGCCTTATTACAAATTTTTGAAAACTGTCTTATGACGAATCTTTGGACCCATCAAAGCTGCAAACTGAGAATGGAGAGTGAGAAGCAACAAATAAATTCATAATCTGTTTAAATCACTACAGATCACTGGCATCATGAGGGCTAATAGATTAAACAGACCCACAGCAACCACCCCACTCCCATATTGGACCAAAAGCACAGATATTGCAAGTTGGCTGTAAACCATAACATAATGTTCCAATCGCCCTTTTAAGGGCAAACGCAGCAGAAGAAGAACTGACTGGTAAACAGGATATAACATTCAAGTGTGGTAGACATTTGTATTTCAGTTAAAAGGATTCATTTCCTACCTTCACCTTGTTTGGTCCAGTACTATGCATCTGATGAAATACAGCCAAATATGCCAGGCAATAAATTATGTAATCTGTTGTCTCTGCTCCACCTTAACTAGAAAAAACGTGATCACTGACCTGAATCATACTCAGCACTTTCTCCTGGACAATCTGTGGAGGGTCGTTCTTGGGGCCAATAATTTTGATCAGATCATGAAGAAAGTCTTTGTTTGCCACTTGCACATGAAAGCGTCGGCCACAGTTCTTTACACATGCCTCAATGCACTGAAATTTGGCAATATAAAATATTCATCCTCATTTTTTTTTTAACTGGGTACAATTACAATGATATTACGGAGACACAGTAGTGGTTCCACCTACTGACCTGAAGATCTCGGGTTTAAATTTGCGTTGTGGTGGATTTTTGATGACTTTGGTTCCCAGGTCAACCCAGCCTAAAATGGGTACCAGCTAAAGTCCTGTCCTGGGAAATAAAGGTAGCTAGTGTGATGGTGACCACATCACCCTTCTATGGCTGACTGGTCTATTAAAATTTGAGTCCAGCATCACATGCCTCATGTGCCACCGGCATAATAAAGGCCCTTTAATTCCTTACACTGTCTCCGAGAAATAGAAACATGCGCATATAAAGTTAGATGGCACTGCTCAGTCAGTCGTTCCTCAATGCCAAGAATATTACATGTAAAACTGATACGGTCTACAAAGATACCTTCAGTAGTGTGATGGCTAGTTTACTCGCCAAGAATATTACATCCAAAACTGATACGGTCTACAAAGATACCTTCAGTAGTGTGATGGCTAGTGTACTCGCCAAGAATATTACATCCAAAACTGATACGGTCTACAAAGATACCTTCAGTAGTGTGATGGCTAGTTTACTCGCCAAGAATATTACATCCAAAACTGATACGGTCTACAAAGATACCTTCAGTAGTGTGATGGCTAGTGTACTCGCCAAGAATATTACATCCAAAACTGATACGGTCTACAAAGATACCTTCAGTAGTGTGATGGCTAGTGTACTCGCCAAGAATATTACATCCAAAACTGATACAGTCTACAAAGATACCTTCAGTAGTGTGATGGCTAGTGTACTCGCCAAGAATATTACATCCAAAAACTGATACGGTCTACAAAGATACCTTCAGTAGTGTGATGGCTAGTGTACTCGCCAAGAATATTACATCCAAAACTGATACGGTCTACAAAGATACCTTCAGTAGTGTGATGGCTAGTGTACTCGCCAAGAATATTACATCCAAAACTGATACGGTCTACAAAGATACCTTCAGTAGTGTGATGGCTAGTTTACTCGCCAAGAATATTACATCCAAAACTGATACGGTCTACAAAGATACCTTCAGTAGTGTGATGGCTAGTGTACTCGCCAAGAATATTACATCCAAAACTGATACGGTCTACAAAGATACCTTCAGTAGTGTGATGGCTAGTGTACTCGCCAAGAATATTACATCCAAAACTGATACGGTCTACAAAGATACCTTCAGTAGTGTGATGGCTAGTGTACTCGCCAAGAATATTACATCCAAAACTGATACGGTCTACAAAGATACCTTCAGTAGTGTGATGGCTAGTTTACTCGCCAAGAATATTACATCCAAAACTGATACGGTCTACAAAGATACCTTCAGTAGTGTGATGGTTAGTGTACTCGCCAAGAATATTACATCCAAAACTGATACGGTCTACAAAGATACCTTCAGTAGTGTGATGGCTAGTTTACTCGCCAAGAATATTACATCCAAAACTGGGATACGGTCTACAAAGATACCTTCAGTAGTGTGATGGCTAGTTTACTCGCCAAGAATATTACATCCAAAACTGATACGGTCTACAAAGATACCTTCAGTAGTGTGATGGCTAGTGTACTCGCCAAGAATATTACATCCAAAACTGATACGGTCTACAAAGATACCTTCAGTAGTGTGATGGCTAGTGTACTCGCCAAGAATATTACATCCAAAACTGATACGGTCTACAAAGATACCTTCAGTAGTGTGATGGCTAGTGTACTCGCCAAGAATATTACATGTAAAACTGATATGGCATATGGAGACAAAGGTGGCTAGTGTGCTTGTCTGCTACACCACCAGTCACATGTTTTATCCTCTGGTGATATTCTTAAAAACTAATTGAGCCTACAAAACAGCACCAAAATATTTCCTAGTAAATAAGGTGACCGGACGGATTAAGATAACCTGATATAGTGAGGGCATAACGGTCTTAAAAATGCAGTGCTAGCAAATTATACCCGAAATACTCCCTGATGTAGAAAATGACCCTACTCGTGTGGGTTTCAGGAACTCATTCGGGCAGGGGTAGACCCACTGCCCCCTATCCAGCATGTCATTAAAAAGTGACTAATAAGGGTCGGAATGCATCTTCCTGAGAAATAAGGAACCAGCAGTTTGCATACAAGTAAACCAAATATGTAAAAAGGATGTGCACACAAACTGGAACAAGATCAAAGTTTTTTCTCTGTCACAAGGGCAAAATGGTAAATAAAAAAATTAACCCTAGCAATACAACAATTTTTAACCTTTAAAAAGTTTACCATCAGCATCTCAGATATGGATAAATAACTTACTGTTAAGCAGTACATGACTGCGGTATAATTCTTTCCAACATTTTGGGAAATCTTCTTGCGGAAGGCACGGACAGCATCCTTGGGACTGAAAAATGACATGGATGTCATGTATTCATTGACCATTCTATAAGCTTTTAGTAATAACTCAAAGGAAAATTATAGTGTGAAACATGTCCACTCACTTCTTCTATTTTCACACTAAAGATGAATGGAGAACTGACATGATAGCAGTTGGGACATTCGCTTGAATGCTTCTTCCTCATTTTCACCAGCCTCCAAAGGGCAGCTGGCATGCTGTGTTGTGGTTTACAGCTAGGCCACCGTACCAGCGCCTTTCGGACTACACATCTAATTTAAGAAAACCCCTAATTTAGTAAAATTTTACGACATGCTTGTTTGAGAGGGGGGTGGGGCTGTGGGTGTATTCTTTTCACCCTGCAAAATTGCCCTGGAACCCACACGAGAAGTCCGCTCACAATATATGTGTAAGTACATGCAGAAACACACCCATACATACATAGTGAGCTGACATGTAAAAGTCTCACTACCACCCTTTGAGTCATAACAGGTATATATTGCTAGCCCCATATTCTTAGTCAGCGTGCACATCAACCTCATTCCAACTGATGCAAGTTCTATTGAAGGCTCAGATTACCTGAATATCACACTAACATTCAGTCTTCAAGAGAATTTACAACCAGCCCTGCTAGTCAGTAAACCCAACAAGCCATCAAGCAAGTAGCCACCCAACCAGTCCATAAACCAGCCAGTCAACACATAACCAATCAGCTGGCCTGTCAAACAAAAAACCAGTCATCCAGCCACTACAACCAGCCAGTGAACCAATCTGCCAGCCATCCAGCTAGTTAACCAACCAACGAGTTGGTCAACCAATCAACCAACAAGCACGCCAGTCATCCAACCACCAACAAACTAGCCATCGAACCAACCTGCCAGCGATCCAGCTAGTCAACCAACCAACCAGTTAGTCAACCAATCAACCAACAAGCACGCGAATCATCCAGCAACCAACAAACTAGCCAGTGACCCAACCTGCCAGCCATTCAGCTAGTCAACCAACCAACCAGTTAGTCAACCAATCAACCAACAAGCACGCGAATCATCCAGCAACCAACAAACTAGCCATTCAGCTAGTCAACCAACCAACCAGTTAGTCAACCAATCAACAAACAAGTGCGCCAGTCATTCAGCCACCAACAAACTAGCCAGTGAACCAACATGCCAGCCAGCCAATTAACCAGTTGGTCAACCAATCAACCAATAAGCATGCCAGCCATCCAGTCACCAACAAACTAGCCAGTGAACCAACCTGCCAGCCATTCACCCAGCCAGTTATCTAGCAGAGAACCAACCAGCTCATCAATCAACAACCCAGCAAGAATCCATTCAGTGAACCAGCCAATCAACAAACCAGCCATCTATCCAAACAGCCAATCCACTAGCAAGTCATCCTACCAGAGAACCAATAAACCAACCTGCCAACCAATACTGTTTTGACAATGGTATTGAGCACCTACTGTTCAGTAAGTGATGGCAAACTACTGAATGTAAAAATGTCATGTAAAACTAAACAGCCAATATATGTTGAGGTTGTTTCTGCAACATCCATTTTTGTTTTTGTTTGTTTACATTATGAGGATGGGCTGACCCTACAGTTACATGCAGCAGAAGAAAAATCCTTTCTCTAGTAGAACAGGCCATAGATCCCAATGCTGGCAAACAGGTACAGAACTGAGGCCAATATGTTGTCAAACATATGCATAAATGTATAAACTGCTGTTCATCTATGTTCTTACCCTTCATCTGTTTCATTTATCACATCACAAACTTCCATATACAAAGCCCAGTTCTCTGTTGCCAGGCTGCCATCTGTAGCTTGTTCTGAAAAGTTAAAATCGTGCTGTGAATTTAATTCAAGGCTCAAATGTTTCTTAGCTTGTCTTTAGACAAGCAAATCAATGTTGCCAATTCAATAACGTATGACTAAGTTATTATTAGTTTTAACTATTAGATATATGTATGGTTTCATAGGTTGATGCAGAATTTCCCAGTATGTGAATAGGAAGAGGGTTCTGGACACTGGATTTGATTATTTACTTGTACCAATCTTATGATTACAGGTGACAATCATGATAAAGCAACTACACGTTCCTTTGATAACATTAATTAATAAGCCCCATTTAACCACTAGACAATAGTGAAGACATGTACCAATGGGAGATTGACTGGTCTTTTTTAAAACTACAAATACTAATTAAAAAACTGGCTCTACTTTGAATCGTTCCCCAAAATGGCGGCTTTAATATGATGGCGTTTGAAACAGAGCTAAATTGGCCAATTTCTGGCCATAAAATATCCAAATGCGGGTCAGTTCTGTTAAAAATATATGTGCCGGCTCCGGATAACGAAACAAATGCTCTGACAGGGTCTCGGCAATACGTTACTTGCCGACCTGCTTCTGCAAGTGTGCCTCACCGCCGAGCATATCCCACGCGCCGCGGATGGGGGCTAAACTAGATGGCTGGGACTCACGAGCGGCAGCTACCGCATCTCCTGCAACTTCCTCCAATTACTGTACTCGTGAGTCCCAGGCACCTAGTTTAGTCCCCATTTGTGCCGCGCGTAGCGGCACGGGGGATACGCTCGGCGATGAGTTTAATCGCGTTTGACGCATGCTGACAAGTCTGGGCTCTACTGGCAAATTTGGCCGGTAAACTGGACTGCTTCGGCCGGCTTAGCGGGGCTTAATGGGAGTTATGTCCCTTCGCGTCCCTTCGCCAAACTCAAAACAAGTCGCGGAAAAAGTCACGAATCAAATGACATACTTACCTATCATCATCCGGTTGCGTGTAGGGCTGTGTAGGGTTGCGTCTTGGGTTACCTATCATCATACGGTTGCGCGTAGGGCTGCGTAGGGTGTCTATCATCATCATACGGTTACGTGTAGATATGCGTAGGGTTTGGGTTAGCGGTAGGGTTAGGGGTGTGGGTTAAGGGTAGGGTTAGGTTTAGGGTTAGGGGTAGGGTTAGGGGTAGGGTTAGGGGTAGGGTTAGGGGTAGGGTTAGGGGGAGGGTTTGGGGGTAGGGTTAGGGGTATGGTTAGGGGTAGGGGTAGGGTTAGATGATGTGCAAATATTCACGTAGGAGGTGGAAATACTGGCCGACAATCTGATGCTTGTGAGAGTGGCGCCACTGGAAGTGTGCCAAATATGACGGCAATAGCGCGCGGCGGCTGGTGCCCCAATCGGTGGCGAATTGTCCTTGTCAGTAGCATCCACCGTCCGTCGACTGTTTGCGCGTGCATGCGACTGTGCGCGATTGTAGGGACCTACGGCGTCACAATTGTCACATCTAACGCTACACCTAACCCTAAACCCTAACCCTAACCCCTAAATGCTAACCCTAACCCCACGCCTCATCTATCTTACGCAAACAACCAACCCTACACGTAATAAGCAGCCCTTCACGCAACCGTAGGACGATGATAGACACCCTACGCAACCCTACACGCACCCGAATGATGATAGGTAAGTATGCCGTTTGATTCGTGACTTTTTCTGCGACTTGTTTTGAGTTGTTTTGAGTTTGGCCAAGGGACATAACTCCCACTAAGCCCCGCTAAGCCGGCCGAAGCATTCCAGCTTACCGGCCAAATTTGCCAGTAGCGCCCAAGTCTGACATATACCGCTGCTAAATCCTCCAATCAGAAGAACACAGTATTGCTAATCGGCTTTCATCGTCTGTAATGTCTCAAAATTGGTCAACGGTCGCTAATATCGTCTGCTAGTATCGTTTGCAGAAACGCTCGAAATTGTTGTCAACGGTCTGTATTTATCGTCTGCTACTAGTACCGTGTGCAAATGTTGATATTGATTGTCAAGTAATCCTAGTTTTGCCGCGATTAATTCCTTGGCAGAAAGTCCTATTTTAGATATAAGCGAACACCGTCGTTTGGATATTTTTGGATATTTTATGGCTAGAATGTGGCATGCCGCCATTTTGGGGAACGATTTAAAGGAGCGCCAAAAAACCATTATATTCATATAGTCTGCAATAAAAGGAAAGAGTAGATGAGACGGTTGAAGAAAGACTTTTGATCTAAAATCTCACAGACTGGACAGGGCTCACATAGGAAAATGTCGAGTCCAGCGCATCATCTGATCGCCAGAAAAGGGATCCGATCAAATAAATGAAACTGTCAAACAGTAAAGTAACCTGTGACCCAACGACAATGTTTATTATTGGTCATGTTTAATGAGACTACTCCTAGTCTACGACTATTTATTAACTATAGGATAAATAAGTAATATTGATTTATAATCGTGTAGTATTATTTATTCCCACGCAAGACAATAATTAGCGCGAAGTGTACGTTATTGTTTACACTTGAAAGTACTAGTAATAACGACAATAACGTCATTATACATCCGATGCGTCATTCATACCGTATGATCCCCGATAATCTAAAAAAAAAAAAACGTCGACTCCCTGCTGTTGCTCCACTGTAGTCTTTAATTATATTGCTAAAAATCTCTAAATGTAAAGAGCAGATGTCACATCCAACGTCTGCTTATTTGCATCAGTCAGAGCATACAATTTCAGTTATAACCCTCACATACCTATCAAATGGCCAACTTGTGTCGCCAGTGGATTTCCGTGACCAAAGAGAGCAGCCATTTTTATTGTTGGTATTCGAGCCTGCCGCAGTGTTGCCACTTTTCTTTGACAAAAAATATCCAAAACGGTGTCAAAAAATATCTAAAAAGATCTAAATCTGCGTGGAAAAGATCTAGAAAAAACATCCAAATGGAAAAAGTCAAAAATTACATAGCTTTTGTTATGACTTACCCTACATAATCATGTCCTCACCTTCACTGATGTTTTCCTCACAATATCCACAGGATAAACTTAGCTTGGATAATGAAGTTGAAGCTTCAGATCCAAAATGACCATGGTATGCTTTAGCTGTTCAAATTTCTTTATAAGCGGAACAGTAGGCTTATTTCTCTATTCTCATCAGGCTGAATTTTAATGGCACGATAGCATTTAAGAGGTCAAATTTCATCCTGTTTTTTAGGCTAGATTTGATATAATTCCTAGCACTGAAAACTCTTTCTACGTCAGCATTTGAGTGGGGCATTATCATGGCAGACATGTCACTTTAAAGAGCTTACAGGATGGACTGTTTGATGAGGCATCTTTAAATTGTCTCACTTCACTCCAAAACGCTTTAGTTTCTGTTTTGTTTGTCCATTCAGCTAACTTTATTTTTGTTAACTGATATTCTGCTTCCGCGACACTATTATCAGTAGCCCCTAAAAATTTCATAACTTTACAATATTTAGGTATGTCCTTTATTTGCCGAAGTATGTTGCTCACAGAAAAAAGTGAAATATTTTTCAAAACATCTAGAT